AAAACTCGCTTTCTCATACACCGTAAACGTCACTTGTCATCCCTTTTACGAAAACATCGGACGGGTTACCCCTCCTTCTCCTCGTCAACCAATATTCTCGTAAATCACATCAATCGCAGCCAGCGACCAATGTTCCTCCCCTCTCTACCCCTTCCAAGAAACCCTCCTCATCGTTACCTTACTTCGCCAAGATCCTGGCACTTACCTCCCTCTCGGCGTGAAGTTGCAAAACCTCCAACATCCACTTCCGTGAAATCATCCTCGGACCACCCCTCCATCGGTGCTTTGCTTCTCACTCATCGCGCGGGGGGGCCCGCTGACCTGCGACCTGCGACCTGCGCGGCCCTCGGCCAAACGAGAAACGAGAAACAACCACCTCTCGTCCCGTACACCATACACCATGTCATCATCAGAGGTCTAATTCCGGCCCTTCAGCCGCACGTCATGAAATCACTGCCGCGGCATTGTGCCAGTCTCCCCAACCTTGGGTCTAAATACCCCGTAGCCAATGGTCAACCTCTACCCAACGGCCCCGTTACATCTAAGCCTAACATGCCCCTCCTCTATTTTCAAAGGGGGAGAAAGGAGCCTCCCCATCTCCAGATCCTGATTTGTTCCTCTTATTTTCCAATCCATCTCTGTCTCCAAGAGGAAATTCGTCAATCTCTCCACGTGCCCACCCGACAACCATGCCGAGCAATCCCTGTTCCTCACCAATGAAATCGAACCCAGACTGCCACTTTCTGCAAGTAGACCCCCCGGTCTAGGAACTCCTCACTTACCCCTCCCCCTTCCATTGCCCGGCGGCTACGAGGAAGCCACAGAATACCACCGTGACCCAATAGTGCTCCCGTCACCGTCACTTTAAACTCCTGTTAAGCCGCTCGGAAAGAACTAATATTGGAACACTTCCGTAGCATCATCACTATATTGACCGCTCATCATCACATTACCTGACTCTATATCCACTCGCTAGCAAAAGCCGCCGGATGCTACTTGATCCTCTCTCATCTAGCCTCACCAGTCAATGTGTAGCTCTCAGCTTTTGACTTTACTCTTCTTCGACTAGGCAAGTGTGCCAAAAATAATTCCTAGACTTGATATCTCTCTATGAGACCTGGCTGCGAGGGTCTTGCTGATACCGCTGATCTCGGCATCAAGACCCATCTCTGGCTCTATCACACACTTCCTCGCAATCTCCGCATCCGCCTAGTCATCCGTCCAATAAAAAAAGGACCCAGTTTACAGCAATTCGTCAAAGGCCATGTGTGAACCAGACCGTGATACCCTGTCCCTTCGGCCGTTACTGCCCATCTGCTGGACTTGGAAAACTTTTACCCTTCCCTGGGCCCTCAAACGCCTTCACGCCATGTAAATGCAAGAAGCTTCCGCCGTCGTCCTTGTATAGCGCTCTCTGCTGCTAATTTCAGAACCCGTCCCTCGTCTCCTAGACGCCTTACGCGGTTGGCCTGTTTCCTACCACGTCGCACCAGATTATGTTCACAAGTAATGTCGTAGTCGTTCAATTCATCAGGGTCGCCGGTGGTTTCCGTCACTGGAGGTCTGACTCTGGAAGGTCGCCAGCCGCCTGCATACTGATGTCTGCAATGCTTTCCAGCTGCTCAGAGGACCCGCACGAATTTTCCCAGTCTTGACGGCCGTTCAGTCAGCCGTCACGGTTCCGAGCCGAGGGTGTCTGAATCACTGTAGAGTCCTGGAGACATACCGGAGCCCTCATCCTCCAATTCTTCAACCGTCATGCGGCGCAATGGCTCAAGGACAGCTAACATTAAGTGTTAGTAGGAACCCCATCATCAAACACCTTAATTACTTACAGTGGTAGAGGTTTTGGTATTCTGCAAAGGTAATGAGGCGATCATTTTCGAGCCCCAAGTCAACCCCAAAGAAGGGTTCGCACTTGGCAATAATGGCCTGCAGATGTTCGGTGGAATGCTTTGCCACCTGAGCACGTCGCTTGACAAAGTATTCCTGAAGGTATACCAGGCAGCTCATAGCCAGCTTCCGTGCCGTCGCGTTCATAGCAACCGCCAAACTCTCGTCTTCGTCATCGAGCAAGTCATGGTTTTCGAACCACATATATAGGAGAGTCTCCGTGCCCTGTCGCACGTCTGCGTCGTAGTAGCCCAATAGAGGAGGCGCCCACATAGGGATAAACTCGATGTATTGAGGATACCGCATAACCCGAATCTCCTCTCTTTCGTTCTGCAGATGCACAAAGGCAAGTCGGAAAAACTCCAGAAAGGCCTGCCCATCCGTGTTTTGCAGTGCCCTGCACTGAAAAGCGATGGTGCGGAAGAGGGTCTGGATGTTGGCTGTGTTTCTGCTCTCTTGGGAGTATATCGCAGCTGCTCTGATGTAGGGCGCGTTGGAATACTGTACTGCGCCGCCAGTAATCGTATTTCTGAGGAGTGTGAGGACTCTGTTATCCATGTCGTGGCTCAGGTTGATGATCCTTTTGATGATTGATGTTGTGTAAGTAGGCTCTTGGTCGATATCGATCAGCTTTTTGACAAAAGTACTGCCTGCGTCCTGTTTCCACTCGTGGGTTAAGACGTTGATCTCTTCTGGGGTCCATGACATTTTCGGGGCCTGATGTTCCATGTAGATGTCCAATCGCATCTCAGCACTTTCCACGATTGTGTGAACGTCAAGGACATCCTCTAGAGCGTCCATGAAGTGATCAATTAGCTGGATGATCATTTCGTACGATGTTGAGCGCGTATTGCTGATCCGACGAATAACATTCGTAAGCATTCGAGCGTAGTTGCTTGGAAGGTCCATGTTGGCATCAGCAAAGACAATGCGTAGCACCCTGTAGAACCAATTTTCCGCCATGAGCACAGCAGTTTCCAATGTGCCCATTTGCGCAAAGGCCAGAATAGTTTGGAAAACTTCAGGCCATGACCTGATGTTAGCGTGGAAATTGTTCCACAACGCCTCGAGCAGCTGAACGCACTGCATGATGACAGGGTCTTCGACCAGCTCGTCCTGTGATAGCCCCCACATCTCTGGCCTAGAAGTTTTGATCTGCCGCAAGGCTGTGAGGAAGAGGCTGCCGATCGAGTATCTGATGGCAGGGTCCGGGTTTCTCTGCAAAAGTTGCCGGAATGCTTCGTGCCTCTCCTGAAAGTAATCGAAGAAGTCCGCAGCGCAATTAGCACAGTTGACAATGGCATGCTCAATCTCGTCTCGATATTCTTCAAAGTCGGGGAGGTCTTTGGTTCGGGATGCAACTTGGTCCAGGTGGCCAAGGAACATGAACATCGCATGCTGCTCAACGACGTGTGTGTCAGAACATTTCCCACCGTTTCGCATCATGGCATGTTGAAACATTCGGAGAACGAATTTCGAGTGGTTTGGGTCGTAAAGACAGTGTCTTCGTAGGAGCAACGTATTCTCCCCGTTGATATGGTCGACGACTTCGAGCGGGACCTCGACCTTTAATGGGGTCGGGATGGACTGGCGCTGCAACTCCTCTTGCTCTGCTTTCAATACCGAAGACCGTTGGTAGAAGAGCATGTATGCACTGTACGTCTTGTCGTAAGCTATGCCGGTTTCCAGAGACCCATCCGTGCCACCAAAAGTCGACTCTTCCATCTTGACTGGATCCCAAGGTGTGACAAGGTCGTCATTGAACTCGAACCAAGCCTCTGAGGAGGCCATAGTTGGTCTTTCCCGGATGTATGAGTAGTAATGACCGGATTCTGCCGTACCAGCGTGAACGAGCACACCGACTAACTCGAACATGTCCTCTTCGCCAGGCTCGGAAGGAGAGTCAAGGTGTCCAACAGTGTATGGTCGCATGTCGATTTTGGTGGGGAATGAAAAGTAATCGTTGATCTTGCTTCTCATAAGAGTCCGTAGGTTGAAATCGAACCGTTTGAGATGAAAAATCAGATTATCCGGAATGTCCTTCAAACAAGCCCTCTTCACTGCGTCCACATGTCGGTCACAGCTCGAGCATTTATACTTGTTGTCTCCTTCCATAATCTCCCCGTCGACATAAGCCTGAAGACTATCTTGTAGGGTGCTTTTCCCCTTGATGTCGCACTGAATCGCCGAGAATGGCTCTAGTCGGTCAGAAACGTGTTCGCACTCCTTGGAGGCGACTTGCTGTACGAGCTGACCGCCGTAAAAGGATCTTAGTGTTCTTCTATCCTCTGCCGTCGAAAGCTGTCCTTCCCAGCGATCAAAAAGCAGGTTATAGAACTCATCAACATCCATTTGGTTGTGAACGTCGATGACTGTCTCTTCATATGTCTTGATAGACCCGACAAGGAGGTTAGGATCGATGAATTTTCGAGAGCTCTCCTGCATGAAGGCGAAGAGTTTGCGCGTCTCTCTGAGCAGGCCGTGGGTGTTGGATTGGGCTGGGATGCGGGCGTTCATCATGAATCGACGGAATCCTGTATTCATGAAGAGCTGTGTGAAGAGCGAGTTCAGATAGCAAGTGTTGGACAGATTGCGGAGGCCGGCGTAGCCACAAGGAGCCCTCACGGCAGACATCCTGTCGAATGAAGGTTGCAGTTCGTAGAGATATGGATCTGTTCTTCTGTATAAGCCGCGCCCCTCAGTAGTAAAGGAATGGGTGAGAAAACCGTTATCAAACTCATCGAACGGAACCAGGGATTCAAGGGCTTCAATCAAAGCGAGGAACTCGAATTCCCGATCGCGTACTAGGTCGAAGATTATCTCGGCGAGAATTCCTCTAGTATTCGTCGACAGGAGAAAATTTCGGATCGAACTCAGGCTGTGCTGCCCTGGTTGCGGAAATAGGTGTCTCCAGAACAGCTTTCGGCCAAGGTCTCTGTGTTGATAGTCAATATCGATGCGGAGTATTGCACGGTACCTTGTTGTTCACTTACGCTGGAAGGCAGCTTTCCAAATCCACGCCCGATCCCTCGTTAAGGCAACTCTGGATAAGTTTCACTAAACCATTGGCCACGGCGTCTTCAGTCCCGGCTTGCCCGAGTCGCTTGACGTGGTCAGCACATTATTTCAAACGGTCCGTAGCAGCGCTGCTTACCTCGGTAGAATCGTGCTCGAGCAGGAGCCTGCCACAGTCGCTGGCCAAAACAGGAATGTCCACAACGGCAGCTTCATCAAATGCCATCTCACGTAGCAGGGCAAGTGACAAGTCAAACACCTGCTGGCACTGTTTGGGAAATTTTGCTGCTCTGATGATCAGTCGGTGCAAAATTGGCCACAGGAATGTGCAGAACGAATTAGTGTTCGTGTTGGACCTGTTTGACGTGTCAGAGCTTGGTAGATGCTCGCCAGTATGCAACACGTACTCGTAGGGCATGATGACTCTTTCTTCCAACAGCTTGGCGACGTTTGCACGAATTGCATCTGAAGGTTCATCGAGGAGCAAGATTCCCATCAACTCTTCGAGATCAGGCAACGCCTTCAGAGACATCCAGAAGGCAGAATCGACAGCTGCGCTTCGAAGAATGGCCGAAAACGTCGAGGCGATAAGGGGAATCAAGCCGTTGTGGCTAGGAGCAGACACCGCTGACCGAAGAATCTCGACGAGGCGATCTGCAGGCGCCATAGCCACCGGCTTGGGGCGTACATCGAGCTCGTCGATGTCAGGGTCTATCGCGACGTTAGATAGTCCCAGTCTTAAAGGCTCCCGCAACTCACCTCTGAAAGTCAGTCCGTAGACGTTCATCAAGTTGTAAGTCAGACGGTTCTGGAGAGTACCAGAGGCACAGTCACCAAGAATCTCACGATCGGAGATCGCCGCCACAACCAGCGCCCTCACCCTGACAAGCGCGTCTAGATATGCGTCAATATCTGCATCGACGGCATCGGTAAGTGTCACCGTAGCCTCGTTCAGTCGACGGCCGGCAGCGCCTATGTACTCAGTCATAGCATACAGGGCATACAGCGACTTGAATGGCTGGCCCGATGGGAAAACTTGTCGATATGAGGTATCTGGCGAATCGAAGGTAGCCAACATGTGTGTATCGGCAGGCAATCCGATGAGAAACGTGTGCATCTGTGACCGAATTAGCTCATTAAAATCAGCCCTGGACGACTCAAATGCATACCTCTGTGGCAATGGCCTCTTTCATACTTAGATAGTCCCAAAGCTGCTCGAAGTGGCCCAGGATTTCTATTTCCAAGAGGGAGGCACCTGGCTTGATTCTAGACGCCATGGCTGTACCATTCTCCTCCCGTTTGACCAGGATGAGACCATCGTGGATCTTCAAGTCTTCAAGAGACTGACAAACGTTGTTTTCGTTGGGTGCAAACGGGTGGCCGCGGTAGTAAATACGGTAGTTATCGAAGCCAGTTGCTTGCCTGATACTTGCTAAAAGGGAGGCGGCTGTGTTCTGTCGTCCGACCTCGAGAGGAATGATGTCTGTCTGCTTGGTCCCATCAAACGACTGGACTTTGAGCTCAGCTGACTCTCCTTCAGCTATGCTCGGTGAGCCAGGTGTTAAGGCGCGCAGGTCGGGGGCAGAGAAGTGGTCCTTGGCTTGGTGAGCTTTCATGAAGTGCCGCAGAACCGCAAGAGATCGACTGAAAGTTCGCTCTTGTTCCAGAGTCTGCTCCTCGGTTGAGATGATAGCCATAGACTCATCGTCGCTAGGTTTGCTACCGTCGAAAGCCTCCAACCGCTTCGCAGCGTCTAGCATCTGCTCGAGGCATCGATTTACGAGACCTAGATGAACCTGGCAAGCTCTGTGATGAGGGTATGCCATGATAGACTTACTATCGACATAAATGTCACCTACGAGCGTCTGAATCGCAGCATCCACGAATGGCAGATCCTTGGCAACCACTACTCCATCTTCAGCGTCAAGAATCATGCGCCAAAGCTGTTCGACTCCGCTCTGCGCAAGACTCTCGACGTCGTCCAGTATGATATCATTGATATCATTGACACGGGGAAGAACGGCGTTTCTGACGAATTCCAATGCTCCTCCGCAGAGACAATCGCGGGGAAGATTCGGTAGGTAGTCGCTGAAGCAGACTGATAGGAACGAGTTGCCAAATGCCGTTTTGGGGAGGGAGTTCATGATTTTCCAACCGTCGTCCCGATCGTCTTGACTCGCTGCGCCATGGCCCACAAGCATATCCCAAAGGCGTGGACCAAGGTCTGATGTGACTGTTGACGGCTCGTAAGCCAGGATATTGGCAATGAGATCCCTTCGAGAATGGTTAACCGCTCCGCCGAGGGTCCTTCTGATGCCAGTTTGCTTCCCTTGCTCAATCGCATGCTCAAGTTCGTCAATAAGCAATGACGTCAAGTTATGGTCTGTTGTCAAGGTTCGTAGCTCGGACGCCACAGCAGGCCGTAACGCCATTGAGAGACATGATAGAGTGCCCAATGTCGTCGGTGTCTTTGCAGCGATATCTTTGATGCAGTCGAGGTAGATCTCCTTCCTCACTTCGGGTTCAATGCCGTCTCTCACTAATTCTCTGAACTTGGTCATTGCAAAGTGATGAACGTCTGGGTAAGCAACGACCGAGTCCGAAACATATATCGAGGATTCTCGCAGAAGCCGGATGCAGATGCTCAACGGCAGCACGCTCTGCGACTCACCCGCAATTTGGGTTTTGTGCTGGAGAGACTTCAGGCTTTGGTCGCAAAGTCCCCGTAAGGATGCGGTGAAATTCTCAATGGGCAATGTTTGCATCTTCTCGCATAAGTAATGCAGCTCCTCCTTGGAGAATAAGTTTGTGATTCCTGTAGTCATGCGAATCAACGCCTCTGAAACTCGTGGATCTTGAGCAGTGGTGATGGTCTGCCATAGCAGATCGGTTTGCCCGCTACGATATAGGCGAGTAACGACCAAGAACCCGACGATATTACCGCTCTCGACTGTGATTTCGGGATGACATGTCGGTCCCAAGATGTAGTCGACTAGCTTGGTTCGAAGAAGGTACTCGGCCACGTAGTTCAAAAACTGCTTGCACTCCTCATCTTCATTATCGCTGTACCTCTTCCAGCAAGTAACCAGATCATGGCACATGTTCGATGCTGCCAAGACACGCAACTGCATCTGACTCGATGTGATGAGCTTTCCGTATATTCCAAGTCGCCATTCCAGCGAAATGGCCTCTGGAATGAATTTGGGGGGCAACTCAGGATGTTTTTGTTGGTACGCTCTCAGACGCTCTGTGGCCAGTCTGTGTTCCCCATTTAGGCAGATTTTGAAGACTTCCGAAAGCGAATGGATGAGATTTGTTGTCGTGTCGTTTGAGAGCTGAGTTACCTTGTTCTCTATTGTTGCGGAAAACGCGTTGGAAGCTAGGTTGTATAGCAGATGGCCGTCTGCCACTCTGACTTTCGCCATCTCTAGGCTCTGGGGAGAGGCTTCTCGGTGGATACCCTGAACAACCTTTTGAAGGATATGTGCAGCGACGCTGCATATCGGTGCGAGAACGTCCATCAAATGTTGATATCTTGGCGCATTGCTCAGGTGCATCTGAGCTAGCTTGATCAACCCTTTGATACCGCCAATTCCCGCTTGAAAAGTGTTCAGCATGTCGGTGCTGAGCAGCTCTTCGTCAGGTATTTGACCGTTCTGAGCCCGGCTATGTTCTCTCTTCGCGAATGACGTTAAGGGCTGCAAAAAGCGGAATAGAAGGAATTCTGGTTGGCGCCGTTCGTCGCCTGGGGACATTTGAAAAGCCTGGGCTGTGATGAAATCAAATTCGACAAAATGAGCGGTCATCCTGGCATAGGCGTGAAAAAATTGGCCAATCGTTTGCCGGGTTTCTAGTGGAATAGGATGTCTGAAGAAGATGTGTGAGCAAACAATCGTTTCAATAAGACAAATCATAGTACTAACTTTCTAGTCGCCAACGCCCAGGCGATTTCGGGAAACATGTGCCAAAAGGTGTGATAAGCCACTTGGGACTCGTAAGCGACCCTGCCACCAACAAGGCCAACGTATTTAACGTATGAGACCATCCAGGCATACAGAGACTCTAGCACAGCTTCTTCCGGGGGCGCTTCTATATTCAGTCAGAACGGCACAAGCTTTCTTGAGCTGCATGACACTTACGGGAACTTAGGTACTGAACTAGCTTCGTGACAGTATCAGGAAGTGACTCGTGGGCCTCGTGGTACGGGAAGTCGGGGGTCGGGTCGAAGGATGCAGCATCCTCGCGAATGATGCTGACATCGTCGTCGTACGGAGCATCCTGGTCATCGTCGGTTATTGCAACCACCTCGACCTCGGGGCTCTGTGGGCTTGACGACGAGGAAGGTGGGGTATCTGTGATCTCGATAGGAGCTTGCGCCATGTCGACTTCGTCCAAGTCTTCAACGCTCTTCTTCACACCTTCGGAAAGTTCAGTCGTCTGGTCCGGTACGTTTCGGGGTGTCGGCGAGACAGGAGAGGAGGATGGAGGGTCGGTTCGGGCGGCATTGCGTAGGTTTATCGTGACCCGGCTAGAGGAAGGTTCTGTCGGAGGCTCTTGAGCTGTCGACTGTCGCTCTGGTGTTTGCGGGGTAGAGGAATGTGTGTCTATCTTCATGGCGGAGTCTTGTGTGGCAGCTTCGTCGGGGTGGTTTGCAGCTGGTGAGCTTGAGGTATCGATGCTCAGTTTGGTGCTGTCGACGGAGAGGCTCCGGGAGCCACCAGACATGGACGTTCGGCGTCGTTTCCTAGAAGAATCGTCACCGTCGGTGAAGGGGTTCGGCCTCGTTGAGCTAGGCTCTGAAGAGACCGCGCGATCTGGTGCTTCCGAGGATCCTGTTGGTAGGTCCATCTGGTTGATGCAATGAGGTATTGCAGCGCGGGTCCTGGAGCTCCAGAGACGTCACTCGGGCGCGAGAGACGACTCGGTAGCAGCTGGTCAAAATTAGCATGTGGGTTCTGTTGTCGGCTGGTAGTGATGATTGGAACCGCGATGGAGGTATGTTGGCGCAGTGATGAATGGGAATTTTTTTTCCTCTTGGAGAAGTGGGTAAAAGATGGGTGATCAGGCTGCAGCAGCTTGATCCCTCAAAGTAAAGGCGAGAGAAGGTAAGGTGAAAAAGTCGGGGAGGTCGGCGCTAAGATGTCAAGGTGAGGGTGACAGTGACGATAGCAACGTGCAGGCTGAGGTCTAACGCAGCAGGAACGTCAAATGGAAGGCACACGGCGGCGTGTCGAAGGTGGGCTTTTTGGGGGAGGGAGCAGGGGTTGCACGTCGGTCCTTTCGGGTGCTTAAAAGAGACGCGGTGCAGACGTGGAGGACGTGAATCCACTAGAGCTAAGAGCTTTGGAGGGGGAGGGGGGACTCGTCTGTTTTGGAGACCAGCGGATTGGGGGGAAGAGAGATGAGGTAATGAGGAATAATGGGAGGCAGAGACCTAGGTACCTGCTTTGGTGTATGATTTGTTGGAGCAGGGCATTTGCGGCATGTACCTTACCTTTTGGTGGTGGTGGTGGTGGTGGTATTGGTGGTTGTCTGGTGGGAGTGTTGGTGGTTGCAGCTCCCGTATGTGAGAAATCGAAGCTTTGAACTTCTGGTGAATCTTGGCTCGCTTTATGAGATAAGGTACCCTGTAAGACGTGTAGCTACGATGGCTTGACGATGTACCTCTAGGAGCTGGGCTAAGGTAGAAAGTAGGTACCTTATCAGGGCGATGCGTAGGTGAAAGATGTACGGGGGTGAAAAGAGCGCTGTTTAGTCTGAAAAGAGGTGTTAGATGAATATCGGATGCCTTGCCTTTACAGAGTTTTTTCTCCTTACCTATGTGACAGACCAAGAGCATACCTTTATGGGCCTCTTTGGCTTGCCTAGGAACAGCACCCGCTGGTCAGACTGGTTGAGGTTGAGGTGCTGCCAGAAGCTTTTGGACGATAAGGTCCTCGAGATAATAGGTGCGGGGTGGGGTGCTGGTGCAATGCGAGGTCTTTGGTGCCCGTGTGGCTCAAGCTCGAGGAGAATACTGGTACGAATATTCAGGGTACCAAGGTATCTGAGGCACCAGAGACGAAAGTGGAGACGGCCAGAGAAGACGGGACCTTCCAGACGTACCTACCTAGTGTACCTACACAGTAGGTACGTAAAGTACCTTGCAAGTTGCACATCAAGCTCCCGCGACACATGGAAGGTGACGGCGACATCAAGCAGCCTTTCTTTTTACTGGCCATCACCTTGTTTTTGCTTTAGGATACATTGTTGCTACATATCCGAGGTGTTCCATGTTTTGCTTTAGAGAATAATTACAATCTGATGAATTGGTACCAGACGAGTGGGCAACTCTGCTTAGGTAATGGAATGATTGCTCTAATTGGTCTACAGTTTGTGGCTAATGGGCGAGGGAGAAACAGGTTGCCTTGCTTCTTACAGATTGTTGTCTGTACCTGCCTAAATTGAGTTACACAAATTGACAGGATAAGAACGATATGGTAATAACAAGTGGCGGTCAATTGTTTGAGAAACTTCTTTCCTAGTCTCTCCTTAGGGAGACGACTCGGTCCTTCTTTCACATCCAGCTTAAGGAAGGAAAGGCCATGCTCGCGAGCAACGCGAGACAAAAAAAGATGAGGCATTGTGGTTGATCAATGCATCTAAAAACAGGGCCCGGTGGACAGGACATTGGCAGTGGGGCACCTTGTCAAGGACATTCCAAAGCCCAAATGTGACTTGAAAGCGAATGTGCTCGTATCCCCAAGTTCGGCCTGGGCCCTGGATATGCGCCAAAGGAATCTTGGCCGATGGCGTGCGGTCAAATGCCATAATCACTCTTCAGCATCCACCGACCAGATTTAGTTAATCCACATTACTTGACATTGCAAGATGCGCCTACGAAAGCTCGAACAGCATCGTCTCCAATACCGAGGTCCATTGAAGAGCACGAGATAGAAGTTCTCGAGAGCCGAGAGAGAACACTTCTCTGGGTGAGAGGCGATCCTGGATGGGCAGCTTGGCTCACCGTCTGCGCATAGCAGGCAGCGACCCAAAGCTGGGCCTCTCCATGTTCCGATTCAGTCCCATTCATACAAGCATCTGGACGGAATCAGCCGGATCCCCAGCTTAGGCTGTTATCACTTCAGCGACCTTAGGTGCGCTCAGGGTAAAGTACCTAGGTAGAGCACCCTCCGACCCGGCCCGGAGCAATGTCAGATCTGAGTCGACTCGTATGCTCTCTCTTGAAGTCCAGTCTCGTATTGGAATCGACCAGATGACACATGGAAAGCTTCCGTCACTTTGGTCACAACTCAACGTCGCATTCGGCCTCTCGGCGACCCTTGCGCGACCCGGCTCTTCCACTCATAGCTGTCTGTCCGTGCCCCCCGAGGGGCTTGGAGCTCATGCGGGGCCGGTATTCTTAGCGGCCCATGTCCATGCAAACTCGCCTCAACGACCCCAACGTCGACGTTCAGCCGACTACCTGCATCGACATTATTGGGATCAGGTACCTCAGAGAGCTCAAGAGGGTGTACGAAGGCCCGAGTCAAGGGCCGACCTCTGTCACTCCCTACTTACCAGCCGTCCGCCAAGCTGCTGACCCGACTCATCATCACCCTCCAACTCCCAAAGTTGAAGCTTTCGATGTTCGTTCATCCGTTTTCTTCCCCTCTGACGATCCATCGTGTGGCGCTAGTGCCACCTCGCTTATCTGTCTATCGGCCGCTAAGGCCAATTAGTCCCCTGGTTGTTTCCAACTGACGAGTTTTATTTTTGTAATTATTTCTTTTCTCCGAAGTATGGACTCGACTCACAAAGTGGTGGTATTGATCCTTCCAGCCGTGCATCTTGGTCAACAACTAATTGCCTTGCACCTCCTGTTATCATTATCCCGATTCACAAATCCAAGTTTATTTCGCTTATTTGCTGCTTTCTCTAAGCATCGACCAGGCCTTACGGACCAATACACATCCTTCATTTGAGCTTCTCGAGCACCAGCCACCCAACTCCAACTTTCAAGTCTTAGTCTGCCAGCCCCAGAACTACCTTACTTCCAGTGGACCGTGGACCATCAAATCCAGCGTCTTTCAGTTGCAACTGAGATTCTCAGGGCTACCACCACGCTCTACTCATCTGCTCCATTCGGCTGCTTCGCCTGAAAACTCATCTTCTGGGGCACGGTACGAAGTTCGCTCTTGGCTCAAGTCCTTGACTTATATTTCAAACGACCAATCGTGACGTCTAGTCACGTCGAGCAATACACCAAAATGGCAAACCAACTGCGTAAAAAGTTGGCGTATTCAGTTGACACACCATTCTCAACAGTACAATGGTAGGATAGCCTGTGAGAGGTCTATTCAGGTACTCAAATTTGCTTACATACCATAGGCCTGAGGTCACCTCTGAAGATCAAGACGCCATTCTGGAATTACTTTGCAGGTACGTCTTTGAGTTTCATATCCGGGCTACTGGCACGTGTCTATATTGGAATTGAACTGACCAGACACACAGTCTGTTGACACCGCTGGGTCAACACCGCCAAAGGCACGTCAAACCTTCGGAAGGCAAACGGGCCGCCAAAAGGAAGAGAAAGGAAGAGGGAGCTGCTGGCAAGGAAGTCGGAAAGAGCGAGCGTCCACCACTGCCAGAAATCGCCTCTTTCGTCGACGTTGGTCTAGCAAGCATCACCCGCAACCTCGAAAGACTCGCACCGACGCCGCAAGGCTCAGAACCAGACACCGACAGCCCCAGCATGGCGGTAGTCCCTCCTGCTCCTTACGCCCTTATTTTCGTCGCCCGCTCCGGCCAGTCATCAGCCTTCAACTGTCAACTGCCCCAGATGGTAGCCGTTGCTTCCAATAATACTGCACCAGCGCCTGCAACAAGACTGGTTGGATACTCCAAGCCATGTGCCGAGAAACTCAGCGCTGCTGTCGGTATCCCGAGGGTTTCGTCGATTGGAATCCGGATGGGCGCCCCAATGTCGAAGGCGCTGGTCGACTACGTTCAGAAGAACGTCTCTCCTATCCACGTCGCTTGGTTGGACGAGGCAAAAGATGCTGTCTACCGTTCCACACAGTTGAAGGTGGAAGAAAAGATGATACCGGCCAAGAAGAGTGGCAAGGCGTGAGATAATCGGAACCGCCAACTCTCCACTTGACTTCGGAGCATTCTTGCAGAAAATAAAAATGAAGATGGGATACCCACAGCCTGCCCAGCAATGCAAGTCTACCTACCAGTGTGAAGTCCGAGACGTTGCCAGGTTTTGTCATGCAGAATTGGCTATTACTTCGAGGTGTGTATACGCCGAATCTAATGGCTAAAGAAAGGACCGACTGTCAGTTCATGTGCTTCCCCCACTCCATCCATAGGACTGCAGAGGAAGTGCAGCGCCCATAAATGTGAGCGAAGATTGTCTTATACAGGTGCTTTGGAACTGTATTGGCTTTCTGCTCGATATCTTAAGCAGACGAATTCTTCTTCAACAACATGACCCTCAGCTGACGAGTGCCAGGTAAGGTGGCTATTCAACAAAGCACCCTATGATTTCTCTCTTTTTGTTACCTCTGCTGCAGCCATGTTCTAGCCCTTCACGCCCAGCCCAGCAGCCAGTCAAGCCTTCCCGCATGAATCAGTGGCCTCATGAGAGAATAATAGCAGCATCCTTCAATTCTTCAACGTCATCCGGTGATAATCCTCACACCGTGCCAACTGATAGACTCCTTCCGTGCCATATACTCGTCTCAGCTACTCGTCCCAGCTACCGTCCCAAATACCCATTCCGTCCCAATACATGTTGCCGTCTCACTTTCCTCTTTACCTTAAGCCGGGTGAATCTGGTTTGTTTACTCTGAAATTTTCTCCAGAGCAACCCACCTGTACCTGCCTCTTGACTCCTGGATTTCCCCCCAAACTCTTGCCTTCCTCAAAGGCCACCTGCTCCAGCAACCTTACCTTCCCATCTCTCCAAGTTGGCAAGCCAAGCTGTCCTTCCTCACTAAACCACTAGGCAAGATTCCTTTTCTACATCTCATAGACGGTCTAGTGCCCTTGGGCTTGACTGTCTCTTTTTCAGCGCTCTCTTTGCCTCCCCAAATTCTTATCCAAACACATCAGGATTCCCACCTTGGGCGCCGTCTCTAGCCAACATCCACATTGTCGCCGTATTTGGCAGGACACCGACAGACAAGTTTTCTCTTTCCAGCGGCCGATAAAGGTCTACCGAAGCAAGGTCAGTACTAGACATTTTCTTCCTTGCTCCTTGTCAAGGTTCATCTACTGGGTTGGGGGTATTTCTCCCCGAATGCCCCTTCCTTAAGATAAAGAGCTTGATTTTCCTGGCGCCTGTGCTTTTTCGTCGATTTATGTCTTCCACAATTATGGCACTCAGTGCTGGACTATTCGACTCCAACACTTTCTACATCTTCTGCATTGCGTTTGAACACCATTGACCGACAGATATTCCCGGCTCTGGCCAGGATCAAGGAGGGCTTTGATGCTAATCAAATCAATAGAAATCTATTAGAGAAAATTCCCGAACATCAGCCTCATAAGTCTACAGAGGTCGTGCTACCAAGATGTTTGCCAACATGGACCCCCAAAAGCAGGCTGAACAGATGGCAGCAGCAAGACTTCTTGCCGCGGAGTTCGGCAAAGCTAAGGGAAGCAGTGGTCGGGGCAGGAGCAGCGGACGAGGACGCATGAATGATGGAGGTAGTGGCAGCAGGCCTGGCGGCATCGGAAGAGCAGCCGTCACTACTCGATTCGATGCTCCACCGGCTCAGATGAGTGCGTTGACTCCTTGAGAGTCCACTGTTCAGTTTGCTAATTCTCGCAGACCGTCCTGTGCCATCTTCGTCGCGTGTTGTCTTCACACCGGCTGAAGTCAATCGGGCCAGAGTCCAGCCTTCCGCCGTCACTCGCGTCGATGCCACTCTCGCGGGTTGGTTGGCAGGCTCAAAGACTCCTCAGCCTGGCCCCGCGACGCCTGCGACGCCTGAGATGCCCGCGATGCCCGCGAACACGGTTCCTGCTCGCTCTGACGCTCAGAAAAGAATCGATCAGGACCTCGCCAGCTGGCTTACGCCCAAGCCTAGCCCGGTTGCCGCTCCTCCCAAGGAGACTCCGGTCAGCCGTGCCTCGTCAAGCACACCTGTCACCAAGATTGATAGCCCCGAGACACCGAAAGCCGCCGTTCCTGGAAACACTCAAGCCGTCTCTCAGTCCAACGCTCCCCCGCCTTCTCTGAAGAAGGAGGCTCTCGCCTCTCCTGAGACGACCGTCCATTCAAGACCCAGTAGCTTAGGAAAGAGCTTGCGGATTGCTCACGAGGCGAAAGTCCTTAGGGAGCAGAACAACGCGAGTGGAGTGGAAACTACTGCTAGTTCCAACTTGAATGCCAGAGCTTCCGCTATTCTTGCCAAAGGCGTTGAGTTGATGCCACAGCCGCAGTCTAACCACAATGGACAGGCTCCTCGCCTTCTTGGAACCGTTGACAACAAGCAAGATGCTCGGGCATCCTCCTCCACGAAGACTGAGGCCTCTGCTGTTAAACCAGAGCCAGAGTTCGGCACTGTCCAATGGGCTCTGGCGCAGCTCGAAAGTGGTCGTGAACTTCCTGGCCACCATGAGTTCCACGCTCGGAAGGCTCAGGAAGTCGGACACAAGTCTGGCGCTGTGTCCGTCCCTGATGCTCACTCTGGAACTATCAACAAGACTGAGTCCGTCATCAAGCAACAACAAGAGACAACTAAGGAGGAGAAAGCAGCGGAGCCTCTGATGAAGGAACTTGACTGCAACTGCCCTAAGAGAAGCCACCCAATTATTGGCTTGGCGGCTTCATGCTACAACACGGATTCTGACGGCGATCATGACCTCGTTCGTATGAAAGGTGCGTCGGATGCAGTGAAGAACAAATTCGCAGTCAACGTTATCCTCCACGAGCACTCGAACCCCGACTGCCCCAAGCTGCTTCAGGCTGCTGCCAAATTTCCTCTGCACTTCGGCGCTAGCCCAGCCGTTGTAGATGACCCCGATGATCATCTCCAGGTCATCCAATGGAAGGATTCGAACGGCTTATCCGGTCCCTCGAGCAGCGTGCCCGTTCGGAAGATCAATTCGTCTGGTCATAAGAACAACTTGCCCGGCGCTTCGAATAACTTGGCTGTCGCCTTCAACAACTCGTCCGGTCCTCCTTTGGCTGGTGCTCCAGTCCCACAGCCGCCTGTCCGCCGCTGCAGAGGCATCAACGACTCGATGTGGGCCTAAATCGTTATCGAGACACATTTTTCACCGTTGCCAACTCTGAAATATTTTAATCGTTGCCCCATTGTGATAGGGCAACGATTGCGAATCCTCTGAGGGGCACTACCTTGACAAGAAATGGACGCGGTAAGGATAGGCAAACTTTCGCAGCCAGGTCCTCAGATTGTTGAAGTTATGACAACGTCTCTGATCTCTCTCAGCACTCTTTAATGATGCCTTATAGCGGCAAGACCTGGAGCTGCTATAGAGAAGGGGCAAGGAGGACGCCACTTAGCATCAGCGTCGGAAAATAGTCGAGATTCAACGCGGCAGAGAGACTTTTGATGATGATGATGATGGAAAGTTGACTTTGATATTGGCTTTGGGGGTTTCTCGACTTGGGGGCGCGGAACGGGATATCTCGTACAGAAGCCGCCCTGTGCTTCTGGAGGTATTAGAGAGTCCGCTGCCCAGGTCACTTTGCTCAGGAATGATATCTCACAGGCAGTCTAGGTAGATAGTCAATCCACCCGTTTTTCAAAATTCCATGAATGCCAGGGCTCGATTCAACATGAGACATATCGACACTACTGGGGTAGGTATCATGATCGAACCTGAAGATGGCTCTTGTGTTCATGGGTGGTGTATGTAATATGTATGTGGTCTCTAAATGCCAAAGCCCGCAACACCCATAAAAAAAGGTAACCCCTTTTTTTTCACTTTTTCCCATATTTCCCAACTCCTTTTCAGATTTCATTCGACTAATGCCTCCAACCAACTACACCTCATCCTCATGCTCATGCGCTATTAATCTCCTTTTCTAATAACTTGACACCTTCCCTAACCTTTGGCGAAAAGTGCCTCCGCAAAAGCTCGCCCTCCCACACCGTCGTCGCAAACGGGTTGCTGCCCTCGACGCTGTCGCTGAGAGCATTGTAGTTGCCGTCACCCTTGCGCTCCTCGGTGCACCACAGCGCGGCAATCTTCTTTCCGTGGGTGTGTCCGACGTCCTGCATGAGCGCTAGCGCCGCCTGCGCCGACTTGTCAGGCATGTGCAGCGCCGCGGACATGATTTGCTTGCTGAAAGCCGCGAGGCGCAGGGGCGGGACGGAGCGGATCTGGTAGGCTGGGAGGAGGACGGCCGTGAGGCAGCGCAGGAGGAGGACGGTGGTGGTTTGCAGGTTGACGCGGTTGTCGCGGGTGGCGGCGGCCTGGGCGGGGCGGATGTGGAGGGATTTGGAGGTGAGTTCGAGGTCCGGGTTGAGGGAGAGGGAGGGGAGGGAGGTGAAGAGATGGGTAACAAAGTGGGAGAGGTCGAGGTGCAGTGCGGAGCGGGAGTTGTGCGCGTCTTGGCCTGCGAGGAGGGCGAAGGCTGTGACTGTGCAGAGGAGGGCTTCGCGGCTCGTGTTGCGGGACGCGCCGCCGAGGTCGTCGTCATCGTCGTCTTCTTGTTCGTCTTGGTTCTCTTCGTCGTCGTCATCCTCGCGGTTGTTGCCCTCCGCGTCCTCTTGGGCATGGCGGATGAGGTCCTTGAGGGCCTCCAGGAGATCGCCAAAGAAGTCCTGGTTGATGAGGTGGGCGTACTTGGCCAGGCCCTCGAGCACGGCGCCCATGAGCCACGGCACGCGCATTTTGAGGATGCGGAAGTAGGATGCGAAGACGAGCTTCAGCGTCTCGGACTGCATGCGCTCGCGCTCCTCGTGGCTGACGAGGGCGTCGGCCTGCTCCATGTCCTTTTGGATGGCCCTCTGCTCCTTGAGCATCTTGCGCTCCTTCTTGGTGCGGAACTCCTTTTTGAAGTTCTTGCGCGACTGCGGTGGCGGGGCGCCCGGGTCGCGGTCGCGGTCGACACGGTCCTGCGAGGCCTTGCCCGCGAACTCGTCGAGTAGGCGCAGGTGGAGGAAGAGATTGAGCACGCTCTCATCGACGCCAAAGTTGCGGGCCTTCATCATCTTGGCGAGCAGGGAGACGGCCTCCATGGAGGGACGGCCCTCCTCGTCGTCGACGAAGAGCGTCTCGAGCGCGCGGCGGCACTTGTGGAAGTCGGCGTCAATCTTGCGCTTGGAGAGCTTGCTGACGAGGATTTTGAGGAGGTCGTTGCGGAAGTTGAAGTGCGGGACGGCGTTGACGAGCGTGCAGGCGCACGAGATGGCGACACTCGAAATGCTCTGCCCCGTTTTCCTCGTGGTCGGTATATCGGCCTTTGCCCATTTCGCGAGCTCCTTCACGTAGCCCTGGTAACCGGAGACAAGGGCCTGCTCAAAGGCGCGCAGCTTCCGGACCTCCTTGGAGAGCTTTTCGACGGGGGCGTCCTCGGCGACGGGCCGGATGCGGTAGCCTGGGATGACGTCCTTGTAGACGGCGAGCTGGGTGGCCAGCGCGAGCTTCTGGATGGCCTGGATGCGCGATTGGCCAATTTTTGCAATGGCCTTGAAGGCCGAGACGTTCTCCTCCGGATCCTCGTTCAGCGCCATGGCGATCTTGGCGAGCTCCTCTTTGGCCTGGTGAATCTGGACGGGCTCGGGCAGGTCCGATTCCTCCTCTTCTTTCCTACGATCCTGGCGCAGCCGTTCGGCGGCCGCTTCTGCGGTGGCCTCCTCGTCTTCGCGGCCCTCGAGCCACTCGCCGTCGCTCCCGACCGAGTCGGCATCGTCGTTGATATCGTCGCCCTGCAGGGACTGGTACTGTTCGAGGCGGCCGTCGGCAGTCTTGATGGGCAGGCGAGTGCTCTCCTTCTTGTCCTTCTTTCCCTTTCGGGGGCGGCTCTCGTAGTCCTGCTCCAGGTTCCAGCCGGCGGCGCTCTTAAAGAAGGACTTTTGGATCTTCTTGGACGACTTGCCAGTGTGGTCGTTTTCGTCTTCGGGCGGCGGCGTGAGCCTGCGGCGTTTTGAAGCTCTAGAGGACATTGTGGAATAGAAGGTTTGTTTGGACTGTCAATCAGAAGAAAATACAACACTTTGAAGAGAATTTCGGCGGCGGCGCTTCGTTGGTTTCCGAAATACTCTCGTCTTCGCTGAAAGAGAGATTTCTCGATGTACGGTGGGATTGAATTGGGGGCCCTGGGACCGCCAACAGTGGGAAGAGGGACCATCGAGAACTTTTTAGTGGAGGTTTTGGCCATTGAGCCAATAGAAACCCCGGAATACCCTCAGACCGCCCGAAAGTTTTTGGGTTTCTGCCGCTACTCCAACCTTTTTCGCATCGCGATGCACCTGCATCCCACCTTTCGGCAACGGCACCTCTACTGTGAAAGATTCTGTCTGACAAAGCTCGCCAATTCCCAACACAATCACTCCGATACCGAACCGAGCACATTCGAAGCGAGACCAAAACACTCCCAGAAAGCCCAAAATGCGTCCCCTCACCGAAAAAGAGACCGAGACCCTCTTCAACAAGTTGGCCAGCTACATGGGCAGCTCGCTGAAGAACCTCATCGCCCCGCTCGACAACGGCCCCGAGCCCGACCGTTACGTCTTCCGCATGATCAAGGACCGTGTCTACTATGTGCGCCTCTCCGTCGCCAACCTGGCGACCAGCATCGCCCGCGATAAGCTTCTCAGCATCGGTATCTGCCTCGGTATGTTGCTGCGCGCAAAGCCAAGCCAAACCTCCTCGACAACTTCTTTGCGCACACATGGACTAATCACCACTCTGTTGTTGCACAATATAGGAAAGTTCACAAAGACTGGCAAGTTCCGCTTGCATGTCACCGCTCTCCCCGTCCTCAGCGAGCACGCAAGATACAAGATTTGGGTCAAGGTATGTCAAATGGAACCCTTTCCTCAATCCGTTCGAGTTCCAGTCCGCACATGGAAAGTGTGTATAGTGGGACAAGCATTGCTAACGGGGGAAAATCTTTCAGCCCAACGGAGAAATGCCCTTCCTGTACGGCGGCAACATCGTAAAGGCCCACGTCGGCCGCTGGTCCGACGACTGCCCCGAGCACCAGGGCGTCATCGTCTACGCCATGGACGACAAGCCCCTCGGCTTCGGCGTCACTGCCCGCTCCACGGCCGAAGCGCGCCGTCTCGATCCCACCGGTGTTGTCTGCTTCAGGCAATCCGACGCCGGCGAGTACCTGCGTGACGAGGATACCCTCTTTGCGACGAACAGTTAGACGAGTCGGTCGTCATGAGAGATTCAAAGAGGAGGGGTGTGAGGGTCGTGGGAGGTTATGGCTGTGGTGGTTGCGCTGCTGCTGCTGCTCTCGATACCCTCTGGATTTTCATGTTTGGCACATTGGAACGGCGTTTTGGGTTCACCAAAAAAAGAAGAGCTTGAAGAACGGCGGGGCATTTTCTACACGGCGTTTTACTGTGATAGCCATGGGCAAGTTTGATCGTTTTTACTTTGGGGGAAGAATACGCAGTTAGCTGTTGTTAACTTAGGTCTCCAGGATCTGAGTCTACGAAGACCTGCTGTCTAGCAAATATTGCGAAATTTTATCGACTGCCATATCAGGTTTCTTTTCTTGAGGTCTAGAGAAACCAAATGTTCTCGTACGTGGTGGCTTGATGATAATATTGAGATCCTCGCGGTTAGTTACATCGGCTGGCCTCTATTTGATTTATTTGCCTTGTACCATACGGCTCATTGATGTCGGGTTCGAAAACAGAATTCTAAACCTGCGAGTGTCGTTAATTCAGTGCAGGCTTGAACAGTCGAATCTACTGGTTAAACCTGCTCCGGAGTTGGCTCGTCGATTCCACTTCTACTTTCGCAAAGATCATGGAATAAGTAGTCGGATGCCAAGTAAACTGAGGAGGAGCGAAGTGAGGTTTTAGAGCACTGCCACTGTTCTGTTTAGGAACGCTTTTAGTTATCTTCTTTTATTGGATATCTGTAGATATGCCTGGTATAAGGTATATAGAGATTGAAAACATTAAATCCTGTTGTATCCATAACGATGCTCGTCATCATCAAGACCAGATGGAATTAAAAAACAAAAGTGAGTAAAAGACCCATCGAAAACGCTGCCACAGTCTATACCTCCATGGAGAAACCCTTCTGCCAAATTAAACTCC